GAGTTACTCAGTAAAATAGGAAAACCATATCGTAAATCGTTCATTTGCAAAAGATCAGTTCATCATCATATCGAACTGGACTGTTCCAGTTGCAAAACATCAATCCATTGTCACTATTCATGCGTTTCATACAAATTCCATTGTTTTCTAACTCTTCCTTTCTTGATCTTCCCCCATCTTCTGCTGCCAGACATTACGTTGACGCTCACGTCATATACTACTTATAAGTAGCTCGCACCACAGTGTGACCAGATTGTTTGTTCGATCAATGACGTCTTCTCACTGTTCTAACTCAAATAGGTTAAAATCATTTATCATATTGATGAATTTAAAATGATCAGTTCAAATCTACCAGTTGGTGCTTTGGTTGTTAGTAAATTGCCTAATTATGAAGTAGTATCATTCGCCGATCATGATGCTGATGATCAAGCTCATAAACAATCATTGAAATGGAATTCAAATAAACTCTTTCAACGGAATCAATTCAATGCATTGGGTTTATTCATGAAAATTGACAATGTTCACAATACATGGAAGAGATTGAATGTAGTGAGTATCAAGTTTTTTTTTGTATCCAGTGGTTTTTTTAGATTTTATTTATAAACACAATCGTAAACTAAGCAGAATCGATTATGATTGTGACAGGATTCGAACCTGGAATTGTTGTACATTAAGACAAGCAGTTTAATGAGATCTTGTAAGTAAGTGATCGGCCATATAAACACTTGTGGTGGCCAATTTCTACGTGTTCTTAATCTTCGTAATTAGCTCGTCCAGACAATCGTTACTAAGTAGCGTCTGATGATTTACAAATCAGAAGGTAAACTCGTAGTATTGAATACGTTTATTTTGGCACACCACAAATGAGGAAAGCAGACCACAAGCAAATCGGGCAGGCATACTTGCGAGTGAATGGGCGAATGTGCGAGTAAATTAACAAGATTAAAATGTTCGTATATATACAAAGGAAAATGTCTGAGTCATCGTGATATTTAAGAGATCAATATTAAAGCGAATAGGATGAATATGCGCGTAGGCGGTAAGCAATGCTCAGTCATACCAGCTCATACAAACTAGACAATAATAGAAGCCAATACTACATATAAGTTGTCGCTATACAAAAGGTTTGGTTAAATAAATTAATCGAAAGGCTTAACCAAATTAAATGTAAGCGAACTCGAATATATAGGACTTCTGAGGAGCAATTACTTTCTTTTTGAACGACACAAATATGGCAACATTTCTTTAACTTACAAAAGTTGTTTTAATGAATTAATTAATTATATATGTTAAGCATAATGTTACTTACTTACATACTTACGCCTGTCAACCCCAATGAAGCATAGACCGCTGACTAAAGTTCTCAAACCAACTCTTTCCTGAGCTTCCCTTTCAAGTTCTGTCCAATTTTCGATCATACTTCTCATATCTTTCTCTATTTCTCGGCATAATGTGTTGTTTGGCGTTCCTCTTTTCCTTTTGCCTTGAGGGTTCCATGTGGGAGGGCTTGTCTCGTGACGCAGTTAGGTGCTTTAGTAGTGCGTGTCCTATCCACTTCCACCTCTTCTTCCTGATTTCCTACTCCACTGAGATCTAGTTTGTTCTCTCCCACAGTACGTTGTTGCTGATGATGTCTGGCCAACGAGTCCGCAGTTTTTTGCGTTCACAACTGTTAATAAACACTTGTATCTTCTAGATGATGCCTTTCGTAGTTCTCCAAGTTTCCTCTCCATACAGTAGAACTGCCTTGTCATTTGTATTGAAAATCATGATTTTGGTTTTTGGTTGAAAGTTGTTTGGAGTTGCAGATATTTTTCAACTGTAGAAATGCAGCCCTTGCTTTGCCAATCCGCGTCCTCACATCTGCATCGGATCCACCTTTCTCGTCGATGATGCTGCCCAGATATGTAAAGGTGTTAACGTCCTCCAAGGCATCTCCATCAAGAGTGAGTGATTTGGTTGGTGCATGTTGTGTTGCATCGGAGAATTTCGCTTTTTCCTTTATGTATGTTGAGATCTACTGCTGCAGAGGCTGCTGCTACACTGATCGTCTTCTCTTTCATTTGTTGTTGAGTGTGCGATAGAAGAGCCAGGTTATCTGCGAAGTCCAGATCGTCCAGCTGCATCCTGGCTCTCCACTGAATACCGTGTTTCCCTCCAGATGTCGGCGTCTTCATAATGCAGTCGATGACCATGAGAAAGAGGAATTGTAAGATTACGCAACCTTGTCTGACACCAGTCTTCACCTCGAAAGAGTCTGTTAGCTGTCCTTCGTGCACAATTTCGCAGTTGAATCCATTATAAGAATTCCGTATGCTGTCAACTATTTTCTCAGGCACACCGTAGTGTCGAAGAAGCCTCCACAGTGTTTTCCTATCCATGCTATCGAATGCCTTCTCGTAGTCGATGAAGTTGATGTAGAGTGGTGAGTTCCATTCAATTGATTGTTCCACAATGATCCGTAATGTAGCAATTTGGTCAGTACACGATCGATCCGGCCGAAATCCATACCGCTGATCTCGAATTTGGACGTCTACGTAGTCCTTCATTCTGTTTACCGATACCCTGTTGAAGACTTTGTCTGGTATTGAAAGAACAGTGATGCCTATGTAGTTCTCACACTTTCGGAGATCGCCCACCTTTGGTACTGTGATCAAGTTTCTTTCTTTCCAGTCTGATAGTGCTTGTTCCTCATCCTAAATCTTGTTGAAGAGAATGTAAAGTAGTTTTACAGTGGCTTCCACATCTGTCTTCATTGCCTCTGCTGGAATGTTGTCTGGTCCTGCTGCTTTGCCGCTCTTGATTTGTCTGATGGCCATACTGATCTCCTCAATTGTAGGTGCACCAACATCGATTGTGAGGTCCGTAGATGCTGATTCGATGTTTGGTGGTTTCAGTGGAGCTGGTCGACTCAAGAGTTCCTTAAAGTGCTCTACCCACCTATTTCATTGTTAAACCATTATGTCGTCAAACACAAAACTAAATTATGTGATTAAAATATATAATAGGTGAATAGGGAATATTTTCTTATTTCTGCAGTATATTATTACCATGATACAATATAACTCCGCTACTGCCGATTTCAAGCCCGGATAACGGAGGAGGGTTGAATATGGGGTTGGCGAATCCATTCTGTCGAAATCTAACTTGCCAAAAAAACGCTGACCAGAAAAAATAATCCAAACCATTTTAACTCTGCCCTAGGAGTTGGAAGAAAGAATTATGACGTCGCGTGATGAAAGCCGAAATCCCTTGGAAGTCACTGGGCTGATACCTCTTCTGACAACCAGGGCAACCATTTTTTTAGGTACATGGAACGTTCGTACATTGTGGGAGACTGGAAGACTATTTCAAGTTGCGGCACAAATGAAAAGATACAACCTCGAGGAGCTCGACATGAGTGAAACGCATCGGACTCAGGTAGAACAACTGAGACTAGCTTCAAGGGAACTGCTGTAAAACTCTGGTCATAAATAGGAAAATGCTTCATATACACAAGGAGATGCACTGATGCTGTTCAAACAAAAAGGAAAAGAGGAAGGCCAATGAACACATTACGCCGAGAAATAAAGAAAGATATGAGAGGAACGAACAATTATTGGAAAGAATTGGAGAGGGAAGCCCAGGATAGAGTTGGTTGGAGAAAACTGGTGAGAGGCCTATGCTCCATTGTGGGTAACAGGCGTAAGTAAGTAAGTAAGTATGATACAATAGAATAAGGACTGATAGATCGAGTTTTTTCTACCACCACTGGAACTAGATTCATAGACTATTCATTTGACTAGATTTTGTTATAGTAGGATTCCTGAACACTGTTGCATGCCGGCCCATTGGTCCGATGGTTAGGCGTTCGCGCATAATACCGAAGGTCCTGGGTTCGGATCCTGCGAGGTGCAGGAGTAAATAAAAATGCACCAATGAATTCTAAGATTTATTCATCTAAAAACCTTGATTTCTTCTTCATCAAACTCATAAGATGTATGTATGTATGTTCGTTCTTCTTCAGCTGTAGTAATTATTTTTCCATTCACAGAAATTTGGCAAACAAGTAACATTTGATCAACAACAAGATGAAGTAAGTAATAAATTTTTTTATTATTTGATCAAAAAGCTTTTTATTGATTTTTCTTAAATAAAACAAAGATTTCAGTATGTGTGAAAAATAGCGATCTCCATAACTCAAATTTGCAAAAAGTTGTACAATGTGCTCACTAGTGACTAGACTAGCTTAGTGAGGAAATTCTCACAGTTCTTGTGAGAAAATTGAGACCAATGCAGTTCAACCGTGTTGGGTGTAGGCAGTAACTATCGAAGACAAATGGTTGAGGTCGCGAAAAATCCCTAGATTGATCAGAGTTAGACATTAACACCGTCGAATGTCGTCGGCCCAGTGATTCAGAGGTTAGGTGTCCGCGCATTAGGTCGACGGTGCTAGCTTCGAATGATGCGAATAGCAGGAGTCTTAGATGCTCACTGCTGATTAGTCTCATATCGGGACGAAACGGCTGTTCAGTGCATTCAGGTCTCTCATGGTGTTTTAACAATGACTGATTGATGATTTCAACGTGTACAAACACTGATGTCCATAACTCTAATTGAAAAAACAGACCAAAACATGGCAGAAATCGATGAAGTCACTGACAAGTGGACTGAGTCATGTTGGTAGATGTAGACTACCTGGTTGGGGTCCGCGAGACGATAGTCACCAATGGTTAGAGACCTTGAACGACATGGCTCAGAATCGTTTGCAATGGCACAAGTGCATCCACTCTTTGAGCTCTTTCAAACCCTAATCTTCTGGATTCGTCAGCACCACCTTTGTCTTTCTAATTTTATCTCACTTAATTATACTTCTTGAATAATATCTTCAAACCCTAGTACTCTTCATTACCATTAATACCTCTACTACATCGCTATCACTATGGGATTTGATTTGACATTTGCGTCTCTGTGCTAATGTGGTATGGCAACATGAACTTATGTACATACGTACGAAGTTCTACGTTGCAACTGACTGACATAAAACAGAATGGTTTAGAACTAATTTTCTATTTCCGTGATCACGTTCGAAACTCAATCAAAATCGTCGTTTGTCTAACTATTAAGGATTAGAAGTAAATCCGACTTGAGGCCTCTGTGTAAGGCTGCGGAGGATTTGAAAGCAACCTGATAAGATAATTTGGGCTGTCAACAGGATATTGAACTAATCATTTACCTTGTTGTGACTGAAAACCTAGGAAACCCTCACTTCGAAGCACTAAAATCGTAAGTGATTGCACTTTAAACATGTTTACTTATATGAGATGCACGAGCCCCAGCTCGTTTAGGTTTTGCATATAGGTAGTATGCAAAAGGTAAGTACCAGGCTTTATTAAGATGGGCTAGAGTAGAAAATCCGCTACCAGAAAAAAAGTAAAATCTGCTAATACCTATGTGCATCCCATAATGAGCGTAAGCGTAAGCTAATGTTCATCTACTATGGGTATAAAGTATAGCAAATACGGGCCAATGAAAAGGTGACATTCTGCCTTCCCTCGGAAGAGATTTTG